TTTTTTTTTTTTTTTTTGGTGGCACTGGGGTTTGAACTCAGGGCCTCACACTTGCTAGGCAGGTGCTCTTACCGCTTGAGCCACTCCACCAGCCCTCTACTTTGAATCTGAATGTAGCCCACATGCAGATTATTTTAGTCGTTTATCTTAGTACCTAAAGCAGTTTCTCTACATTCCTGACTTCCTTGTTCCACCACCATCAACTGTTGTTTAGATCAGCTTCTCTTGCTCCCTACCAAAGCGTAGCATATATATGCTTTTTCTCTGCTTGTATCTTAACACAAACCTCTAGTGGGTAAACTCTGTGCTTCCCTTTCTTTCTCCTACTGTGCTTTTGTATATGTAGGTTTCATTTTTCCCACATCCTAATCTTGTTTTTTTTATCTGAAATGTTTGTATTTTAATATAGTCTTGTCCCCTTTCTCCCTCCTACTCTTCCACCTGTTTCTGTCTTCCATCTGCAATCCATACCTAGAAAGAGAGGAATAAAAAAAGTGGGAGAGGAATAAAGAGATAAGAGAGTAGTCATTTGGAACTAAAATTATAAACTGAATGTCCAAGTGGTGGATTTAAATCCCAGACTTCTCAGGTTCTGCTCCTGCTTCTGGATCCTGAAAATCAGTAGGTGAGTTGCTAATACCAACTCATATTCTGCAGGGAGTGTGGTACTAGGTTAAATGCTGTAGATTGGGAATAGGGGATCATTGTTGTTTGGTGCAAAGCTCTCTCTCTATTCCCTTAGAAACTTATTCTTGAGACTGGGAGTGGTGATGCCCATTTGTAAGATCAGCTACTCCTGAGGCAGAGAAAGAATTATGGTTCAAGACCAGCCCAGGGAAAAAGTTAATGAAACCCTATCTCAAAAACAAGCTGGGCATGATGATGCAGCTCTATAATCTCAGCTACTTGAAAGAAGACAGAAGGATCATGATCCAAGGCCAGCCCTGCCAAAAGCAAAAGACCCTATCTGAAAAAACAAACTAAAAGCAAAAGGACTGGGGTTGTGACTCAAGTAGTAAAGTGTTTGACTAGCAAGCACAAGGCCCTGAGTTCAATCCCCAGTTACCCCACCCCCAAAAAAGAAAGAAAAGTTAAAAAAAAAAAAAAGAAAAAAAAATTTACTGTTGAAATTTATTATGAACACAACTCCAAACTAAAGAATCTTATCCTGGGTAGGTAGGTGTCAGTGGCTCACACCTGTAATCCTAGCAATTTAGGAGGCTGAGAGTGGGAGGATTGTGGTTCAAGGCCAGCCTGAGCAAATACTTTGTGAGACTTTATCTTCAAAATAAGCAGAACAAAATGAACTGGAGTTGTGACTCAAGTGGTTAAGTACCTGCTTTGCAAATGCAAAGCTCTGAGCTCAAAAACAAAATTTATCCTGGGTAACTTTCAATGTCCTGGAAACATTTAGGTAGCTGCTAAAATTACATCACTAGTACCACCCCAATGTATATGATACTCTTTTTTTCTTCCTTTCCACTTTTTTTCTCATTCTCTCTTTATCCCTTTTCTCCTCTTCATACTACTTTTTTGTTGTTTTTATCCCTCTATGGTGCTTGGGTTTGAACCCAGAGCCTTGTCTTGTGCATGTTCCTTTTCTTTCTTTCTTTTTTTTGTTCTTTCTTGATTGGGCTGTCAGCACTAGGTGCTTTCCAAACTGAAGTTGCTGAACCCAAGAATAATTATTGTTCAGTTTTTCAAATGGTATCTAACATTGTAGGGATGCAGGAAGTAACTACACATACCATTGTGCTTACACAAAAAGTTTTCCTTTAGATGAAAAACTTTGAGAAAGTGTAGTTACCTTTAGCTCTGTAGAAGGAGGCATTTGTCCCAGGCCTAAGAACAGTGCTGGCAAAACATACACTCTTACCCTTGACAGGCCTACTCTATTCTGTGGTTCATCTCATATGAAGTATGTAAAACCTAAGAGTGAGGCTGAGGATAAAGGTCCCATGACTACCCTTTGCCCAGTTGATTTAAACTGGACTAGATCTCTCACAAACATATTTTTAACTTCTCTTCTGATATCCTCAGGCATCTTAAGAGCCTTTGATCTGTCTCAGAATTCACCAGTAGGTGGCAGCCACGTCCTCATGGTTTTTCAGAGGTTCCCTAGCTCTGGAGTTTGAGACTGTCTAAGAAGAGAACTGTAGCCGAGGGTAGAATAACCAAAAAATAGCAGTGAGGCCCCTACCATTACTACTGATCTTCCTCAGTTAAGGGAAGTTAGGAGAGCTTCATCATCTCTTTTCTTGCCGCTCTTTATTTAAAACTCATAAACATGAAGAAAACATCGTTGCCATACCACTTTATAATTCATTCTCCCCAGATTATAATCAGGACTGAACCAAGTTAAGCCCTCTCCCAAGAAGCAAGAAAAGGATTAGGATAATAGAAAATGTGTAGAAGAGCCAACAGTATGCCTAGCCAACGCTGGGCAACTTGTTCAGCATTTGGAATGCTGTTGGCTTATAGAAAATGGGTGTGCCTATAGTTCTGAGTTGATTTTCCAGGCTGTAACAATATCCCTCCTGGGTCACTTAGGGAATTCTACGTAATTTTTTCTTAACCTAAATGCTTTTAAAACCTAGGTATCAGATTCTCTACTGAGGCTTCCAGAGCATTCTTCCTTTTGGAGGGTCTTCTAATTCTTAGAATCTTTACCTCATGCACCATTAGTACCCTCTGTAAAAAAAAATCTCCCAAAGATCTGTGGCAGGTGAAGATTTTGATACCACAGCCCCTACACTTACTAATACTTTAAATACAGTGGGAGGTACCTGTGGAATGCCTGAGTAACTCTGTTTGGCTTCTTCCTTCACCTCTTCCCTACTTGTAGAATGGACCTGAAAGAATACATGTCCTGCAGAGCAAGGGTTCAATCCCAGCTCTGTCATATTAACTGTGTGATCCCAGGTGACCAATTTCATTTCTCTGAGCTTTATTTTCTTAATTTCAATTACAAGTTATCATATCTTATGAGAGTACTGTGAGGCTGTCATGAGACAATGTATATAAATGTTATTTCCCTTCTCTTCCTCAGCTCTCTCCTTCTTCCATCCCTCTTTCTACCAGGAGCTGTTTCTAAAGAACTGATGAAGCAATTGAAATGACTTGAGGGGAAGAAAAGAGAAAAGAAATAACTATCCATTAGTTGGTTTAGAACACTGCATGTTCCTAATAAACAAATCCTCCTGCTTAAGGCTAGTAAAGGGACTAAAGCCAATTTATATTTTATCCCTAATTTCCCCCCCCTGTTTACTTATGGGGGCATTTTTCATACTGCCCTCACAGCTAAAGGAGCACAAAAAATCATGGATCAAGAGGAAGTAGCTGGAAGCAGGCGTCTACTGGGTGTTTATTCCTTTTCTGCCCTCAGGAGGGAGATGATCACTGTGGATGAGCACTTCCTCCAGGAGAACTGGCCTTGGATGACCCTTCCTACAGAAGCAGTGCAGCAGTGCAGACAGGAATCCCTTCCAAGTGGGCATTCAGGAATGTTATGACCAAGCTCTTCAGGAATCATGTAGTTAGGGGGAAAAAAAAGTGCATTGGGAAAGCTTTGCTTGGAATCAGGCAGCAGACCCTACACCAGAAAGTTCTCAGATTATTTATGACAGCTTCAGAGTTCTAAGCGCTAATGGGGCAGGGAGTACAGTGGGTCTCTCCTGATTGGAGAGATTGTTTGTCAGAGAGATGTGAAAGTCACAAGCCATCCCAGGCTTGGTAGTCCTAAGCCAGCTCAGCAGCCTTAGGAGTCATGTGAAATTTCTTTTACAATTAACCTTGTTGTTCCTTCCCTTTCCCTCCCCATTTCTGCCCACCGGCCTCTCCCTATACCTTCCTTTTCTCTTCCCTTTTCCACATGCTTCTCTGCTGGTCCACAGCAAGTCCCAGCCCTGCAGCCCTCTCCGCAGCCTGTTCAGTTCTCTCCAAGCTCCTGTCCCCAAGTCCTTCTGCCAGTCTCTCCGCCCCAGCAGTACAACATGGTATAAACTGCATTCCTTCTTTTTGTCTTGTCCATGTGTGGCCAGTATCTGTGGGTATGTCTGGGTCAGTTCGTGGTAGCCCTGCAGCATGTTGTGCTTTTGGAGGGCATGTTGAAAGCCGTCCTTGAGAGGTCAGCACAGCCTGAATTACAGCCCACACCAATGGCCTCATCACAGCACACCAAAAGGCATCTAAATATAAGGGATGCTAAGTTCCCCTCAGTTTCAGGAGAGGGAATAAAATTGGATATTGGTCTGTCTATCCTAGGTCCCTCAACTCTCTAACATATATGTCTTTCATCTTATTTGCTCCCTGGACATGTCTGAGAAGCCCAATTTCTTCTGTACAAAATGGTTCTCTACAATTTCATTTATTTTCAAACTTCTGATATCAGTGGCAAAAGCTTGAAATCTTTCTCATCTTACCTATCTTACTATGTCATTATATATCCTCTTCCACTATATAATACGTAATGTTTAAATTGTTTCTACCCTGACTATAAATCCTTTGAAGATATGATTGCCTCATAGTTGATAATTTCCATCATGGTTATAGGAGCTCTCAATTTTAAACTTTATATTAATCACACTTCTCTGCTTTTTCACTAGAATTCCCTCTTTCCTCCTAACTCTTTTCTCTATTCTGAAATGTCCTGGAATATGGATTTCATAATTTGTAATCCAGGCCCTTTGTCATCTATTCCAGACCAATAAGGTAGCAAAACAGATCCCTGAAATTGAGAGAAACTGCAAAACACCATTGTCTTATGGTTTCTACTAGAAACCAAAAGAAGGACTTCTGTTCTGTGTGTGTGTGTGTGTGTGTGTGTGTGTGTGTGTGTGTGTTGTCCAGAGAGTAGAAGAGAAGAGAAGAGGAAAGAAACTAACCTATCACCATACAAGTGAGAGATGGAACACCATCACCCTTCTTAGGGAAGAAGGCTGAGAGAAAAGGTAATTACAGCCCAGCCAGTCAGTTTCCTTATCCATCTCAGCCACTCACCTTGGCCTCCTTTCGGAGGTGAGAATTAGAAGTGGTTTCTGAAGGGCAGGAGAATTCTAGGCTAGTGTCAAAGAACAAAGGTGGAAATGACCTCGAGAGGGAGTAAGGAGATAAGCAGCAGGAATGGATCTCACCAGTCCTTTGCTGTGGAGGCAGAGCTGTAGAGGCACATATACCTAGCTATCCAAAATCCATCAAGGTGTTACCTAGGTCCTTTATTATAAAAACAAGATTAACAGCAATGTAGGAGTTCTTTTTATGGCTAGGAACATGAGGAAAGCAGGAATTGGAAAGACTTCTGATCTTTTTTTTTAATGCACTGGTTTATCCCGCCTTTTTCTATAGATAGAAATTGTGCCATTTGTTCCCATCTCCCCAGGACTAATATTAATAATAGTCATATTGAGGGTATATATATGACAGAAAGACTGGCTCTGGAGTTAGGCTTAAAACAGCTATTCAATTCATAATAATTTAAAATATCACATGACAGGAGCCTTAGGCCTACACCTCTGGAAAAAGAGGCAGGACTGACCCAAAATGGTATAAGGGAAAGCATTGTTATCTCTGTATGTCTGTCTTTCTGTGTTGAAGTCACCGGCATGAGACTTGATACAGTCTTGGTTCTTGAGTGTTCCCCACCCCCCCAACAGGCAGATGACCTCAGCAACCCCTTTGGACAAATGAGCCTTAGCCGCCAAGGTTCTACTGAAGCAGCTGACCCATCCTCAGCTCTATTCCAGCCCGCACTTATCTCCCAACACCCTCAGCAGACTAGTTTCATCATGGCTTCCACGGGACAGCCCCTCCCTACTTCCAACTATTCCACCTCTAGCCATGTACCTCCTACTCAGCAAGTCCTGCCACCCCAGGGCTACATGCAGCCCCCTCAACAGGTAAGCAGCCTCTGCCCCCTCCTTCAGTCACTAATTCAATTTGTCCAGTGTTATCATCCTTTGCTCTTCCTCTAGTTTAGACAGACCAGAGGGGATACCATCCCTGTCATATGCTTGAAAGTTGTCACTCTAGCCTGAAGGTCTTTTTTTCTGTAAAGCACAAGTCCCATTTTATTTCAAACCCATAATTTTGTACTTGCAGGGCCAAAATATCTTCATTTATAGATTTCTGGCCATCGGCCCTAAAGCACTTAGTAATTTGTTGGGGCTAAATTAAGAGGGACTTCTTGGGTTGGGGAGTGGATCAGTGGTTAGAGTACCTGTTTAGCAAGCATGAGGCCCTGAGTTCAAAACCCCAGTGCAAAAAGCAAATAAACAATAAACCACACACAAGAGGGACCTCTCACACTTGTTTCCTCTCACCATAGATCCAGGTTTCTTACTATCCCCCTGGACAGTATCCTAATTCCAACCAGCAATATCGACCTCTCTCTCACCCGGTGGCCTACAGCCCCCAACGTGGTCAACAGCTGCCTCAGCCATCCCAGCAACCTGGTAAGAGGGGCCACTGATGTAAGATGTACACTGATGTACATAGGGAGAGACTGGAAAAGAGAAAAATTACCTTCCCTATTTAAAGTAAATATATAAATAAAGGCAGGAATGACAAGGGTTCTGAGGAGGAGCCCAGAATCCCCAGAAAAAGAAAAGTTAAAATGAGTGGGGAAGGGGAACTACTGCTAGAGGGTGGCGTCCTAAACATTCATACTCATGTCTTCTCTGCCTTTCCCATCTCTAGGTTTACAGCCCATGATGCCTAACCAGCAGCAGGCGGCTTACCCAGGCATGATTGGGGTCCAGCAGCCCCAGAACCAGGGCCTGCTCAGCAACCAGAGGAGCAGCATAGGGGGCCAGATGCAAGGCCTGGTGGTTCAGTACACTCCACTGCCTTCTTACCAAGTGGGTGCATTCTATATTGTGAAAGATTACTCATTGTTTGGGACAAGGAAAAGCAGCCTCCCAGGGTCATCCAGACCAAAAACTGTAGTACTAAAATACCATCTACTTTCCCCCTAGAACTTTCAGGGGTTTTTTTTGTTTTTTGTTTTTCTCCCTCTGAAAAAGTTCAGAAAGTCTGAGAAGAATCTTTAAATTCTTTGGTCTTTATATAGCCATGCAAACAAGAGTATGTATAAGAAAGTAGGATCTAAAGGAAATCAGGTTTCTTTCTTGGTGTCCAAGGATGATGATGCCCAAGGGTTTTATTTATTTATTTATTAAGATTTAGCAAAGATTTATTTTAGTATAACAGGATAAAGTATGGAGGTGGGAGGAGAAAAAGAGAGAAACATTTCCTGTTCCCCACACAGAAAATGGGAGCAAAGACTCCCCAAGGGTGTTATTTAGAGAAAGGGGAAATGGAGATGGCTCTCTGAACATTTTTTGGGGGGAGATGAGGAGAACAGAAGAAAGCTGTAACATAGGGAAGGAAATTGTAATGTTGTGGTCTAGTGATGACTAGTCTGTTCTTTAGATAAGCTCAGTGAGAGTATGAATAGTCATTCTCTTTTTCACCCAGGTCCCAGTGGGCAGTGACTCACAAAATGTGGTCCAGCCGCCTTTCCAGCAATCTATGCTGGTCCCTGCAAGCCAGTCTGTGCAAGGAGGACTCCCAGCTGGGGGTGTTCCAGTATACTACAGCATGATCCCACCAGCTCAGCAGAATGGTACGAGGTGAGGACTACCAGAGAGCCGGGGCACTTCTCCTATAGGCCTTCAGCAACTGAACTTGTTGCACCATACTTTTGCTTCTACTGGCCTTAGAAACACAGGGATAAATATCCCAGTAGTAGCTGTGCATGGTAGCACACACCTGTATCCCAGCACTTGGGAAGCAAAGGCAGGAGACCAGTCTGAGCTGCATAGTGAGACCCTGTCTTTTTTTTTTTTTTTTTTTTTGGTGGTATTGGGGTTTGAACTCAGGGCCTTGGTACACAAGCATTCTACCACTTGTCACTTTTCCAGTCCTTTAAAAAAAGAAAAGAAAGCAAGTAGAGTGGCTCAAGTGGCAGAGCTCCTACCTGGCAAGCATGAGGCCCTGAGTTCAAACCCCAGTACCGCCAAAAGTGAATAAATAAAAATTAAAAAAGCTGGGCACTGGTGGCTCATGCCTGTAATTAGACTGAGATTAGAGGGATTAGTGATTCAAGGCCAGCTCAACAAACAGTTCAAGAGACCCTCATCTCCAAAAATAACCAGAGAAAAATGGACTGGAGGTGTGGCTTAAGTGCTTGAGCATCTGCTTTGCAAGTCTGAAGCCCTGAGTTCATACCCCAATTCTACCAAAAAAAAAAAAAAAAGAGTTTATTTTTCCTCATTGGTTTGACATTTGCATAGAGCTCAGCAGCAGAAAAAAAAAAATCTGCTTCAGAGACAGAGCTTTATAATGTTCCCTGGTTTTTGTTTTTCATGTTAGTGGGGCTCAAAACTATGGAATAAAGACTGCTCATCATTAAGAGAAATAATTTTGAAGTATACTTATGTAAATTTTCCTGTGTACCTTTGTGTCTATGGATAAAACTCCAGTGGTGTGTATATTTTTGTTTGTATCTATCTATATCTATATCTATCTATCTATCACTGTCTATCATCTATAGATATAGGTATCTATATATAAAAATAAATATCTCTGAGAATAGGTCACAGCTAAAAGAATCATAGCAGTAGAAGGCACCTTAGAAACAATCTAATCAACTCCCTTTGTTTTTCTTTCTTGATTTTCTTTGTTTTTGTTTTTATTTTTGATTGTTTCGGATTTTTACTGCAGTACTAGAGTTTGATCTCTTGCTTGGTAGGCAGGCACTCTAACACTCGAGCCACACCCCCAGCCCTAATTTTTTTTTTTTGGAGGGGTGGGACTGGTTTTGAACTCAGGGCTTTACACTTGCAAAGCAGGTGCTCTACCACTTGAGCCACACCTCCAGTCCATTTTGCCTTGGTTATTTTTTTTTCCCCATTTTTACTAGGATATGTTTGTTGTACAGAGGAAATTCATTGTGATGATTCCAAATAGCCTTACATTTTGCTCTGGTTATTTTGGAGATGGGATCCCACAAAAATTTTCCTGAACTGACTTTGAACCACAGTCTTCTCAATCTCAGCCTCCCAAGTACCTAGGATTATAGGCATGAGCCACTGGCACCCCGCTTTTTGTTCATGTTTGAGATAGGGTCTTACTATGTAGCCTAGGCTGGCCTTGAACTTGCAGTTCTTCTGCATCAGCCTCCTGAGTGCTCCTAGGGCTTACAAGCATCTATTAACACACTCAGTTTCTCTTGATTTTTATTATTATTATTATTATTATTTTTGGTGGTACTGGGGTTTGAACTCAGGGCCTTGCACTTGCTAAGCAGGTACTCTGCCATTGAGCCACACCCCTCCTTTCTTGATTTTTAAATTCTACCTAGGGATGTTAAGGAAACCAAAATCACAGACCTGGTTAGAAGTAGAGCTGGAACTAGAACTAGGATAGGTCTAACTGTTCTATGTGACCGTCTCCCAGTATGTATTTGCTTACTTCTGTCTTTTTATATGTGTATCTCCATGTTGTTTGGAATTTTGTGGATGTTGTTTCTTATTTGTCTTTAGGTGACTCTTAGTGTTTGGCATTGTGTATCAATCCTAAATCACATGTCTCCTTATGATTTTATTCATCTCTTTCTAGCACTATATGTCTGTGTCCAGCACTCTTTACCTGTGTTTTTGTTGTTTTGAGAGAGAGAAAGAGAGAGAGAGAGAGAGAGAGAGAGCATGTATGTGTATATAATTTTGTGTTCCCATACTGTTAGGAAGAGCATGTGTCACTAACATTCCATCTGTAGCACTGATTAGCATCTTCCTAATTGAAAGATGATCAAGTACAAATACATATAATTAACTTTGAACTGATGAGTGATTTTAGAAATTGCATGGCAAATTGGTCTGGGAATGGTTTGGAGCTGCCTCTGCTTCCCTTGGGGGAGGCCCAGAAAGCAGCAGCTGTTTGCCAGGAGCTGTGTTCCTCCCTCTACCACTTTACCACTCCTCTCTTCTCATTCCCTAGCCCTTCTGTGGGTTTTCTGCAGCCTCCTGGCTCTGAGCAGTACCAGATGCCTCAGTCTCCCTCTCCCTGCAGTCCACCACAGATGCCACAGCAGTACTCAGGTAAGAGGATAAAGAATTTGGGTCAGTAGCCAGGCACCAGTGGTACACACCTGTAATCCTACCTGCTTGGGAGTCTGCAATTGGGAGGATTGTGGTTCAAAGCCAACCCAGACATGAGACCTCTATCTCCAAAATAAGCAGAACAAAATGGACTGGAGGTATGACTCAAGTGGTACAGCACCTGCTTTGAAGAGCCTGCTTTGTAAGTACAAAGCCCTGAGTCTCACCAAAAAAGAAAGAAAAGAAAAGAATTTGAGTCAGTGAGGTGTCTCAACTTGGAAAGTGGAGATCAGGAGGATCATAGTTCAAGGCCAGCCTAAGCAAAAAGTTAATGAGACTGCATCTCAACCAATAAAAATCTGGGTATGGTGCATGCATTTGTCATTCCAGCCTGGCTCACAGTCCAGGCTGGTCCAGGCATAAAGGAAGACCCTATATGAAAAATACCTAAAGCAAAAAGGGCTGGGGGTGTGGCTCAAGTGGTAGAGGTCTGCCTAGCAAGTACAAGGCCCTGAATTTAACTCCCAGTACTGCTGAAAAAACAGAAAAGAAAAAACAATAATTTGGGAGGGGCTGGGGACTGGCAAGGGCAAACACTACTGAAGGACTTGTACTCTAGAGCTGGGAAGGGTTCAGAGATCTGTTGTGTCCCCAATCACAAAGAAAGATGAAAGTTTTGACTTGATGTGGTGGCATATGCCTGAGAGAGAGAGGTCTTTTTTCAGTTGCATTTGGGTTATGAAATACTTATCTCCGTTCCCTGCACTCATTTTTCCTTTAAACAGCTTTTCTTTTCTCTTGGGAATGTGAAGAAAGTTGAGAGATGTTTTTTTAAAGTCATATTATAGATCTGTTAAACAGTTTTTAGTGTGTGTTCACATACATTGTGGTGTGTTTTAGTTCTTACAACTTTGTGAGGAGGAAATTTAAAACTCAGATTAAATGACTTACCTAAAATCACAATCCTAGAACTTGAAGTTGGGTCTTTTGACTTTCCATTTCCTATTCCACATTCTAGTAACACATTTTTCAACAGGCCTTTATGAAAAGGCCTGTTCCCTCCAGTAGGAAATAAATAGACTTCATATTAAACAACTACTCTTCAAAGGGGCCAACTATCCTAGGTGACTAGGTTTTTGCCATGTGGCCCCTTGCTATCTGCCCCAACCCAGCACCCCAAGTGCAGTTGCCCTTGTTTGTTTCCCTTTAAGTTTACCTTGACACAGCAGTATATTGCAGTTAAAGAAAACAGGGCTTCTGGAGGGAGAGTTTTAGCCTCCAACCATACCTATTCCACTGTGTTATAGGGATGTCTGAGTGCCCTCTTCTGGTGAGAGGTAGATATTTTGCCAGTTTTCCCCATTTAGAAATGGAGTATTTTTCACCTAAGATTTTTTGCACTCTCACTGTATTAAATGCTATTTGGCAATTCTAGAATTAATCTCGCTCACAAGACATGATAAGTCCTTACCGTTAAGGTGCAGTGACTTCTGGCTTTATCCAGACCAAGCATAGATCCCTTACAGGCTGAGGTTTTAAATTCAACAGTCCTTTCCTTTTAATACATGAGTGATCTCTCTAGCTGTTTCTCCTAGTGTCTGCCAGGGGCACTTGGCCTTGAAATTCCCAGCAGAGTATGGAAATTATAGAAACCATTTCCAAGACACACCATGGCCTGTGGTGGTGCTTGGTACTGCAGGGCATTTTCTATACTGTTTATTAAGAAAATGTGGACATGTGCATATGGGCATACTTATAAGTGTGCATTTTTGCATTTTTCCTTTGTGGTATGTCAGTATATCTATTGAGGTCCTGGTTATATCTGTTCATCTTCAAATGCAAGATCTTTGAATCAAAAACAAACCAGGAGAATTTTTCATTACCTATTCAACCTTGTACTAGATTAAGTCAACTAAAACAACTTTTGTTCTAGAAGCTGGCAACTCTAGAGATCTGGGCTGGGAGTGAAAGAAGGAGGCAATCTAGGCTTCCTGTATCAAAAGAAATGAGGAAACATTCTCCGTCGTCTGTTTCCCTTGCTTCTTTGGAATTTTCTCAGTTACATCTACTTTCTTCCCAACTATTTTGATTGATCTCAGACTTCTGACTGATCCTTTGTGTCTTTGCTCTGTTCTACCCATGTCATCTAAGAGACCATATTCACTTAAGTATTGCTTTTAAGGGTTTTTAATTCCTGCACATGGAAATATAACAGGAACAAATGCCTCTTCCCCCTTCTTTCCAGTTTACCCTTTACTGGGAAGATAGATGTCAGGAATAGCCCACAAGGGCTACTTTGTTACCCTTCAGAGGACAATCACTCATCCTCTTCTCATGTAGCAACATGGTCACTTTTCCAAAAATAAAGGCAGGGATTAGGATTGGCTGTTCTTGGAACAACTGTTCTAGTTTGTTAATACATTTTTGTAGTTGACCAGTTTACCGCCAGGCCTGGACCTTAATTCCACCACTGCAATATTAGATATAACTATAACTCCAAGAAATACTTTTCTTCCCATTAAAATGATAGCTTGCAGGTCCCTTGAGATTTCTACAGGGATGCTTATCCAGGGAAGATGCATACAGACATGAAATAACAGCAATCGCTATACACAGACTCCCAACTCACAGTGACACAGCAGCACGGACAGAGTGAGACACATACAGAAATAGCCTCTCACATACTTTGTGGCTCATTTTTTAGCTGAAAGGTTTCCAAAAATGAGACTGTTCTTTTCTACTTCCTGAAGATACCCCTCTTCCCAACCAAAAAAAGAAAAGGTCAAAATATTGATTTCTATCCTAGGCTTTAATTAGGATTTTATTTCTCTAGACATTCTCTTCCATAGGTTTCATTCCTGATAGTAAGGAAGAAGTCTTATCAGTCTTCTACCTCAGTGATTTTAAAAAAAAAAACAACTAAACAAAAATGAAAAACAATTCTACCAGACATAAATGTCATCTGTTTGTATTTATGTAGTTTGCTCTGCCCAATCGACCTTTCTGCCCAGGTTTAATGATGCCACTTAAAAAGCCATTCACACGTTCCTTCTCCTTTTCAGAGCTTTCAAGCTGAAATTGATTTCCTTATCCAACCCCCTTCTCCCCCTTCCCATCAGCTCTCAACTCAGGCTCCTTCCTCCAACCTGATTATATGGAAGTACTGTCACTGGGCAGTGGGATTTTTTTTCTTTTTCTTTTTTCCTTTTTTTTATTGCCATGTCCATTAAGAAGTAGAGACAGTTCAGCTGCTAACGGATGCCACCTGCTTTTGGCTTGAGGAAGAGAAGCATAAAAATCAGCTCATCAGCAGAGTAGTGCTCTGTGTCCTCGGTTGAGTGAAGGAACAATGCTCCAGGCCAGCGGGGGAGGACTAAGCTGGGGAGGAGCTCAGGACAAAGGCTGCAACTAAGAACCTTGGCTTTGTTTTTGTTGGGATCAGAGAAAATAATATGTGTACTTTGTTCTTTTTTCTCCTTCTTCTTGAGCCCCCTATAGCTCCTTACAAGTTGGTGTTAGTAAGAGCTGACTCTGCCCTGCTTATGTACACCCCTGCACAGTCACACACCTACACACACCTTTTCTGGCCCAGGGCATTAGGCTCAGATTATGAGCTGCTTTCTAGAAAAGTTGTAGATTTGATTATTTTTGCGTTGGTCCCTCAGGTAGCAATGAAGAGTTTGAATAAGGTCAATTGCAGTTTTTTTGGTAGAAGGATGTTGGAGCCGGTAGGACTTTTAAGATGGGGAAATAAAGGCCCAGAGCAACAATAGTAAGGGGAGAGTTGTTAAATGCCTGACACTCCACAGTTGTGCAGTTTTCCTGTGGCCCTTGTACAAGCCATGCTGATGAATATCCTGTCCTCTTTGGCAGGGGATGGGAGCTATTTTACTGAGTATTTGTCCCCTCTGATTGGATGAGCACTGGAGGGTGGAGTGTACAAATTTGTTGGGGAATAGAATCCAGTAGACGGTGTATCTTCTGAGCTGGTCTCTCAGGCCTCCTGCCCTTTCTTTTCCTTTCTTTTGACTGATACTACTTGAGAAAAGCAATCACATTCAACTTCCAGCATGACCCAGGCTGCAACATTCCCATCATAGGAAGCGATGTGGTGGCAACAATATTAGCAGCCCCAAAGCAGTAAGCCATAACAGCATCATTGCAGCAGGCTTGCAAGCTAGTAACCCCAACTTCCATTTCTCTACCACCATGCACCTGAACTCAGCCTCAACAGGAATACTGCCTGGGAAGTCAAAAGCAAACCCTCAGCTGGGCACCAGTGGCTCATGTCTATAATCCTAGCTACTCAGGGAGCAGAGATCAGGAGGATCACAGTTCAAAGCCAGCCTGGGTAAATAGTTCAAGAGACCCTATCTCAAAAAAAAGGGCTGGTGGAGTGGCTCATGGTGTAGGCCTTGAGTTCAAACCCCAGTACCACAAAAAAGAAAAAAAAGAGCAAACGCTCACACTGGACAATCCTCTGTAGGGAAGCAGAGTTCTTGCCCACCCCTCCCAGCAGAGTCTGTCCATCAAACTGCTTCTTCCTGGCTCCTTACTTTGCTTTTTATCATGAAGAAGATTTAAGACTTAACGTTCCTTTTTACTGTCCCCTTTCCTTCCTCCATCCTGTGAATCAGAAGGCTATCCTGGTCACCAGTACCAGAACTTCAGGATCACATCCAGTCAGTCACCTGAACCTGTCAGTGTATCCTGTACAGTGTCTGACTTTCCCACTGTCTTCCTCTGGCATTACCCTCATTCAGAATCTCCTCATTTGTTTCAGGAGCTTCCAAAGTGGTCTAGAATCACTACTTGGGTTAGCTCTCTAAAGCACCAGTCCTGTCTCGACACCTGCAGGATAAAGTTCAAGCATTTTACCAGAATGCACTTCAAACTGAGTCAGAATCAGCTATTTGCTTAATGTCTAGTCCTTAATAGACTGTCCATTCTGTGAGGGCAGGAACCAGGCTTGTTTATGTACACTCAGTGCCCAGTGTAAGGGCTAGCACATAGCAAGTGTTTAATAAATGTTTTTTGAATAAATATGTCTCATCTTCTGTTGCTTTCCCTACATAGCTCCTATTCTTAGCACCTTAAATCATTTATCATTTCTTGAAGATGACATATCTCTCAATACCATTCCCTCTGCTTGAAATGTTTCCCAACTCATCCACCCTTGATCAAGAAGTACTCCCCAAAGCCAGCCCAGGCAAGTAGTTCTTGAGACCCTATCTTGAAAATACTCAACACAAAAAGGGCTGGTGGAGTGGCTCAAGTGGTAGAGCCCCTGCCTAGCAAGTGTGAGACCCTGTGTTTAAACTTCAGTATCGAAAAGGGGAAAAAAAAGAAAAAAGTACTCCACAGGTCTGGCTTAGTGAAACTATATACATTCATCTATTCATCTTCTTCAGAACAATCAGAGCTTGCTGACTTACCTGCAATCTTTACCAGAAAAGCTTGCACATGTCTGCAGCCCTGGCCCATCCCCCAGACCAGACCAGTACCATGGCCAGACATTTGAGCAATCTGACCTAAATGTTTGGTAATATCCAAGTTTGATGGAATGGAGTAGTTTATCTGCCAAGCATACCAAAGTGCCCCTCACCAGGTGAAGGCCAGGAGAACATTGGCATCTGGGACTCATCTCCCTTCCATTGGTTTGGGAAAAGGAATCAGAAACCAAATCAACAACTACCTCCAACTCCAGACAGGACAGAGTTTGAGTGAACCTGAAACAAGTTGGGTGGATTTGCTTACTGGCTTTCCCACTCGGATAACTGGAAGACCAAAATACAGTTTAAATTTCCAACCAACTGCTTTCTTCTGCCACTCAGGAGTGTCACCTTCTGGACCAGGTGTGGTAGTCATGCAGCTTAATGTCCCTAATGGAGCCCAGCCCCCCCAGAACCCATCCATGGTCCAGTGGAATCACTGTAAATATTACAGTGTGGACCAGAGGGGTCAGAAGCCTGGAGACCTATACAGTCCTGACAGTAGCCCCCAGGTGAGTCTTCCAACCCAACCTTGTCTTGGCAGGAGAGGACCAGATTCTTCTCAGGGAGCATTCTGTGTCATTTGACTGAGCCGCCTCTTTTACGCATCTTGCCCTGGGCATTTCTGGGGAGGAACACAAGAAATAGAAGGAAACTAGTATCTGAGGTGGTAGAAAGAACACACAATAGAAAATTCTCAGAAAATATTTAAAATGAGAGCCTAGTATAGCTCAGTAATAGAGCATGTGCAGGGCTTAGGAATTGATCCCCAGTGTTGTCAAAAAGAAAAAGGAAAAAAAAGAATATTTAAAATGATGTATCAAATGTGGATGTTGCCAGGCTCATGCCTGTAATCCCAGCTACTCAAGTGGTAGAGATTGGGAGGATATTGATTCAAAGCTAGTCCAGGCAAAAAGTTAGTGAGATCCCCATCTCATCAAAAAAAAAAACTGTGTGGTGATTCATATCTGTAATTCCAGCTTTGTAGAAGGTGTTAAGTAGGAGAATCACAGTCCAGGCTGGCCTGGGCAAAAAATTCGAGAACCTGTCTGAAAAATAATACAAACTAGGGACTAAAAAGGCAGTTTGAGGGAAAAGTTGACTTTGACATAGTACTTAAGAAAAAGTGTATTTTCTGAGAGATAAATTTGAAGCCAAGCCAAGATAGTGTTTTGTGTTTATGTGATATGTGCTCTTCCCTTCTACAGGCCAACACACAAATGAGCAACAGCCCTGTCACATCTCCTGCCCAGTCTCCAGCACCCTCTCCTGTCACCAGCCTCAGCAATGTCTGCACAGGACTCAGTCCCCTACCTGTCCTCACACAGTTCCCCCGGCCTGGGGGTCCAGCACAGGGTAAGGAGTTAGATTGCAATTAACTGCTTTGAAATTTCATCCTCACACCATTCCTACTTGGGAGAGGGTAGCAACAGGAAGGGAAGTAGTGTAACTGACTCAATTCTGCAAGCTAACTCTTCCTCTTAATATTCCTGTTGAGGGCAAGGACACCTGCCCTTCTGTAATGCTGCCCTTAGTGAACTTGCTCCAGCCTTTCTTTACACATTTCATATTCACCATCAAGTAGGTGAAAAGTTCACTCAACTTCCTAATGAACTAAAGATGTTGAACCTAACATCAGTATTGAGTCTGCAGTCTGGGAATGTGGGACTAAGTTAGAAACACACGTTTTAGGAGAAGGAACATTGAGTTTGGGTTAAAAGACTTAAGTTCCAGCTACACAACAAAGTAGGTTTATGATGTTGAGCAAGTTCCTTAAACTCAGAACTAGACCTTAACTTTCTGATCTATAAAGTGGAGTTGATCACACATAAGATGGGAGTAGTCTTACTGGCTTTTTGCTGTGGCTATCTCAAGTGATATAAAAATAAGATTAGAATATGGCTTTAAAACTTTAAAATGCTCAAAAATATAGTATTTTTATTAATAACAAGTAGTGCTTATGGTACTTAATGTGTACGGGCACTGCTATAAGTGTTTTACATGATTTGTATTCATTTAACCTTCCAGCTACACTAAAGAGGGGAAAACATCCCAACATCACATTTTCAGTAACAGAGCTAGTATTTTAGCCTAGGCAGTCTGGCTGCAAGTCTGTGCTCTTGTCCACCACACTTCATTGCCCCTCTCATGAATCAGAAACTTGAACCCTGGGTTTGTGGGTAAAGAGAATCTATACAAGAAATAAAAGACATTCGTAAAGATGTGACGATTTCTTCCCTGGTCATTTCCATAGGACCTTTTATCTACAATGGACAGAACCCTTCTTTTAGGGTAAGGGGACATAATACTCCTGTTAGTGAGGTACAGTTGAGAGCCAGGGGTGTAAGAAGAGAGACAACTCTTTTTCTTTTTTTTAATTTTCATTAAACAGTTTAATTTCATTCTTTTTTCCAGTTACTATAATATTTCTGCCTGTCCTGTACATTTTTTCCCAAAGGGATTTCATTGTGACATTTCCATACATGCATATGTTTGATCATATTCACCCCTTCTGTTACTCTTTCTTATCCCCCTTCCCCACTTTTTATAATTATTAATGGGTGTTATTTCCTATCTTCATACATGCATAAGACATATTTTGATACATTTGCCCCTCCCTTCCCACTGATGAGACAACTCCTAAATCGGTCACATGGGCATTCCCATCATAGAAAAGGTAGGAATAGTATGCATTATTGCTATCTATCTCCAAGGTCCTCTGAAGTCTCAAAATAGCCATACCATGAAACTCAAGCCCCTAAAAAACGTCTGCTCTTACTCCCTAGGTGATGGGCGCTACTCCCTTTTGGGCCAGCCATTACAGTACAATCTATCCATTTGCCCTCCCTTGCTCCATGGCCAGTCAACTTACACGATGCATCAGGTAAGGGTATCCAACATCAGCCTTAGGGCCATCAAACTCCCTTCTCATCTAGGCCCCTATCTCTGAGCCACCCGCTTCAAACCAGCTGGTGAACAAGGGAGATAAAACAGAATGGACAAAGCAGAAGGAACCTTACCCCACTCCTATACTCATTACTCTAACTCCACTGCCAAGAGAGAGGAGCTCTTAATATTCCAGTGACCATTCCCTGGCCAATCTGTGTAGTGGGGTGGAATCGTTAGGGTTGGATGCTGCTCTTCAGTCTCTCAGGCAGACATTGGGACACAAAGCAGTCAATGTTTTTTTTTTACTTGGGATGAGAGTTATCTTTTGAACATTGAAGGGACAGAGTGGATTGAAGCATGGAAACCGGGGCAAGAGACAAGCCCTCAAATCAGCCTCCACTGACCTGGGGACAGCAGATGTTGGTAAGTGGCAGGATGCCAAATCCCCTTGGGAAGGTATCCAGCCTTCTGACCCTTCATACCAGCCTATGATGAGTGGGTAGAGTATACTCAAAAGCAAGCAGAAGGTGAAGTGTCTCAGTCACCTTGACTAAGCCATCTTAGATCCTAAGGCAGATCATGGTAAAAGTGGGAATAGCACATGATGGAAGTTTCTAAGCTGCTTATTAACAATCTCCTGGGAGCACTCTGACCCTAATCTAGGACATCTGTGTTTGGTAGTACTAGACCCAATTTAGGAGAAGATTGGTAGAGATATATGGAGAAGTACCTCTTCTCCTGGAGGCCTTCTGTGCTCTGCAGACAAGGTCTCTTGAGATTCCCTGATTTGTAACAGTTGACTGAACAAGAAAAATAAGGAAAACAGACTTGCTAAGATGATAAGAAGGAAAGTATGTATTTGGGCCAGTCTCTAAATGGGAACTGTGGAACATGTTTCAGATTGATTCTGTGACTTTATTAAAGACCATCAGTAAAGCCTGGGATTCATGGCTCACACCTGGAATCCTAGCATCTTGGGAGGCTGGGATCAGGAGGACCAAGCTTCGAGCCAGCCTGGGCAAATAGTTTGCAAGATCCCATCTCCAAAATAACCAGAGCAAAATGAACTGGAGGTTTGGCTCAAGCAGTAGAGCACCTTGCTTTGCAAGCACAAAGCCCTGTGTTTAAACCCCAGTCCCACCAAAAAAATAAATAAAAGACCCTCAGTGGGCTGGGGACATGGCTCAAGTGGCAGAGTGCCTGCAAGACCCAGAGTTCAAACCCCAGTACAGAAAAAAAAAAAAAATAGGGGGGGTGGGGGAGCAGTAGAAGCTGATGGTTATTTCATTATATTGACTCCGTATAAAAAAACTAAGGTTTTGGTCCTCAGATCATAAGGGATTCTGATTCCCAGCTGCTTCTTGCCTACATCTCTGGGCTGGAAGAGAAAGGTTCACTTTTTACCTCCTGCTTGCCCTAATCAGAGCCTAGGTGGTGGGGAATTGGGATCGTTTGAGGAGGCAAGGAGCAGGGTAAGTGAGAAAGGCAGGGCTTTTGAGGACATTCAGAGTTGGTCAGCTGAATTCTTCTCTGCCAGGCCACTGTCCAGTCCTTCTTACTCTACCTCTTACAACTATGTCCTCTTTCCTCCCCTTCCAGTCCTTGGGCGGGTGCTGGAGGTGACAGATCTCCCTGAGGGCATCACCCGTACTGAGGCGGACAAACTCTTCACTCAGCTCTCCATGTCCGGCGCCAAGATCCAGTGGCTCAAGGATGCTCAGGGGCTGCCTGGTGGGGGTGGGGGGGACAACAGTGGGACTGCCGAGAACGGCCGCCACTCTGACCTCGCTGCCTTGTATACCATCGTGGCTGTGTTCCCCAGCCCTCTGGCTGCCCAGAATGCCTCCCTTCGCCTCAACAACTCTGTGAGTCGCTTCAAACTTCGAGTGGCCAAAAAGAACTATGATCTGAGGATCCTGGAGAGAGCCAGTTCCCAATAAATGGAGGTGGGGAAGGGACTGGCACAGTAGGGGTGGGGGCAGGATGGAGGGGGCCAAGGTGGGATAGACCTGGACAGAAGCAAGAAGTACAGAGACAGATGCCAGACTGGAGCCTAAGATATTAGGGATTAAGAGTGAAACAGACAGGTTCTCAAATTGGCACTGGACTCCTTCCCACTCCCCTGCCATGGATTCCCTCTTTTTTCCTGGTTCCCCCCACACACATACACACACTTCCCTCTCCTTCCCATCCTCTTCTATCATTTTTTATGTCTTCTCCCACCATGAAATTAATTTCTTTCATAGTTTTTGGTCAGGCAGAATTGGGAGGGTCCCATATTCTCCTCATCTCCGACTTCCTCACCATCCCAAGCTCCCTTTCGTTTTTGGTCTTTATGAATATATTTATATGGACAGAATTAAGAAAAACAAAATTGATTTCCCTATTCTCTCACTTCCCCCATCTTGTCGCCCCACAGAGTTAAAACTTTGGACTCACCCCCAGAACACTTGTATATTGTTTGTTTGAGGTTTGTGCCACAGTAACAGACACAGTATTTAATTGCACATACAGATGTTTGCTGGGTATATTCACTGTAAATTTTATTTAATCTGGTTTTTGTTTGTTTGGGGGGGTTATTTGGGGAGAGGTTGGTTTTGTTTTTAAATATAAAAAAACTTGTCACTGGACATTGGTCACTGTTTCTCTGTTGCCGCCTGGAGGGGGTGGTATGGGTAGGAAACCCTAGGTAGGTTCAGCCTTGTAGTTGTCCAAGGGGGTTGTCATGAGTTGGGATGGCTTTCCCTAGCATGCGCACATACATCTTCCTAACACTATTTCTTCCATTCCATCCTCTTCCATGTATACAACTCTAATAGTTAATTGAGTCTCTCTCTGTGGAACCTTGGTTTTGGGCTCTCCCAACTCTGCTACAAACTGTGGTTCATCAAGCACATCATTGCTCAACTCTGGACCTCTGTGTCCATATCAAAGGTCCATTAATTCTGATATTCATTTAGGGGTAAGTAAAATCCAGAACTGGCCTCATTCCTATCCATCTAATCTTCTGAAAACCCTTCAGGGGTGGAGAATTTATACCTTTAATCTTAAAGCCAGAGGATTGGGTTCTACTTAGTAGAAACAGAAGTAGACATTTCTTATAATAAAAGCTACACCAGGCAAGGCACAGTGATACAGCTGTATTCCCAGCTACTTGGGAGGCAGAGATCTAGAGATCACACTCTGGGGCCAGCCCCAGGCAAAAATGCAAGACCCTACCTATAAAATAACAAAAACTGGGGGTGTGGCTGCCAAGCAAGCACAAGGCTCTTGAGTTCAAACCCCAGAACCAGATAAAATAAAAAATAATAAAAATTAAAATCCAGGCATGTTCAACAGTCCCCATCCAGTGCAGCTAAAGACAACTGAAGAAGACTGGAGGCATGGCTCAAGCAGTAGAGGGCCTGCTTTGCAAGCCTGAAGCCCTGAGTTTAAACCCCAGTCCCACCAAGAAAAAAAAAAAAAACTGAAGAGAAGTCACCCCACCTGCAACATAGAGCTTTTCCTTTGGGGATTTTGAGAATCCATGGAAGGCCATCCTTGTTCTGCAGCCTGCCAGGGTAGGGCCATTAAATAGCCTATAGACTCAGACCTATCCAGCACTCCACTTTCAATCTCACCCACCCCTTAAAGAGAGAAAAGAGCAATTAATGGAAATCTCTTTGAGTTCGGGTAGCTATATCTGTAGCCAAGCTGCTCCAAGAGCTTGTCTGACCCAACCCCTAATGTAAGCTCTTTATTTCTCACAGAAACAAGGAATAGAGCACTACATTACCATCTGACATTGCTCTCCTCCAGGATCTCTTTCAGCCATGTCACAGTCTGAAGAGTAGAGAAAGCTGTGTCCCTGTAAGATAAGAATGCCTTGGCCTTTCAGTTTATACGTTGGGGCTTCAGAGATGGGAGTTGGAATTAAGAAACGAAAATGGGCCAGACGCCAGTGGCTTATGCCTGTAATCCTAGCTACTCAAAAGGCAGAGATCAGGGGGATCACAGTTCAAAGCCAGCCCAGGCAAATAGTTTGAGAGACCCCCTCTCGAAACAACCCGTCACAAAAAAGGGCTGGTGGAGTGGCTTAAGGTATAGGCCCTGAGTTCAAGCCCCAGAACTGAAAAAAAAAAAGAAAAAAAGATTTAAGGAAATGTAAGGCTTGGCCATCATACCTTCAACAGTTTGCAGTTCTCTGGGAAAGGGGACATTATTTACAGATGATAGGAATTCACTATAGAAGGCAGCTATAACCTCCAGGGTTAAGTAAACCCCCTAAGGTCTTTAGACTCTTGTTTTCCAAAGCCTCTCAGGTGGGAGTTCCAGCCTATCTTTTTTAGTAACTCTTATAGTTCCCTTCACTCTCAGGACAAGATTTTAGAGAAAGAAAGATGCCTCTGGGGACTGTGGAAAGGAACAAAACAGTCCTACATAGTCCTCATTTCCTTACAGGATGGCACTTACAGATGAGAAAGCAATCTAGTGTGGCTGACAGGAGAGTTCTGAGATACAGATCTTTTCCTCACAGTTCCTAGTCCATTCCTAGCCTAAAGGCTTAGGGCTAGATCTATGCTTGAGGCATGTAAACACAGGACCACAAGAAGACAGTGACTGAGAAGATAAGTCTAGTTCCTATTGTAGGCCTAGGGAGGGTAGAACTGAGGAAGTATTTGGACCTTAGGGAAAAGGAATGGGAAAAATCAGTTTATAATTCATCTTGACTTCACCCTCAAACAGCTAAAATCCCCTCAAATGAGTATATAGTATGAATAGAAACTGTCCCTTCCTGGCAGGGAAGTTGTTCAATGGTAGAGTGCTTACCTAGCATGTTCAGGGTCCTAGGTTCAATCCCCAGTATGGGGAGGGGAAAAGAAAGAAAGAAACTATCCCTTCCTGACTTTAGCAAGTACAGAACTGCTCACCATAGATGAAGAATCAGGGAAGAGCAGCTCTGGGGATGGGAGGAGTTAGGGTCCGGTCCTGCCCCAGACCTCTCCGTGTCCAATTTCTCCATGTCAGCTGTGCTGCTCAGCTGTCCACTTTTCTCCAGCCCTGTCATTTCAGCTCTGCCACCAAGGTGAGGCTAAGAGGCCTACAAATATTGTCTGGGTAGCTGGTGTGAGTACGGATGGTACTGGGGGGCTTAGCCCCCAAAGAAGAGGACTCGTCCTCCCCCAGCACCACCATCAAGGCCTCAGGGGCTTTCTCTTCCCTCCAGACTGTGAACTGATTTAGGGAATCCCAAACGTAAGTTGCCTCTTCCATCCTCTTTCTATTTCTAGGATGCTTACTCCAGCTTTCCTAATCCCTTTTCAACTTCATTTCTTGTCTGTGAGTAGTTTGGGTTTTAGAAGTGGAATTGTTATTCTCCTGAATGAGCTAGAATTGGAGGTGGGGGTGGGGTCCAGGAATTGGAGTAGTAAGAGAAGGAAAGGCTCATATTACTCTGAAAACTTAAAATAGATGAGGCCTGAGGCAGGCTGGGACAGAACTAGGCACAAGGCCCCAGGGCTCAAGAGAGAGGGGAGGGCAAATGTCTCAGTCCATCCCTCCATGCAGGCATGCAAGGACACATGAAAAGGGCATGTGGGAAGGTGTGTGTCATGCCTATTGCCAATAACTACCTGTGGGAACATCCCTAACCCACACAGCTTTGAGCACTGGGTTGGGATGTAAATTCTGGGGCTGCCCCTCAGGGTGGAAGGATGGGTACCTATCCGAGGAACTGGTTGGGAAGTTTTTCAGTCTGTTAGGCTTTTTTCTGGACCTCCAAGGAATCGTTCTGTTCATAAGCTTGACCAAAGACCTCTGTTTTACCAAATTTCTCCCAAAACCTCCCTTTCAAGGACCACCCTACTTTGAGAGACATGAATAAGGGAGGGAAAAATGGCAATCAGGGATTAGATTTCATAGTGGGGTCCAACCTCTTGCAGGATGACAGAAAAGGAGGTGCTGGAGTCCCCTAAGCCCTCTTTCCCAGCAGAGACTCCGCAAAGTGGGGTGAGTCTGGGCTTTTGACCACCAAGTGGGGGAGACTGGGAAGCCAACACAGTCTCTGAAGAAAACTGCTTGAATTGATCCCACCTGTGTATGACTCATTTGTTGTTAGTCGGCTAGCCAGCACCTTGCAACCCCTAATCCTCAATCCTGGGGCACGTTGCTTGCCGCATGCTAGAAAAATAGGGAAGGTAACTGTCCTATTTACACTGGGTTTCCTTCACTCCCTCCCTCAGCTACAGCGGCTGAAACAGTTATTCAGGAAGGGGTCTCCAGGGACAAAGGAGATGGAGCTCCCCCCAGAGCCTCAGGCCAATGGGGAGGCAGTGGGAGCCGGGGGTGGGCCCATCTACTACATCTATGAGGAAGAGGAAGAAGAAGAAGAGGAGGAAGAGCCACCCCCAGAACCTCCTAAGCTTGTCAATGACAAGCCCCACAAATTCAAAGATCACTTCTTCAAGAAACCAAAGTTCTGTGATGTCTGTGCCCGGATGATTGTGCGTGAGTCATGAAGGGGAGTGGAGAGTGTGATGTCTGAAGGTAGGGATTGGGGAAGAGGGTTTAGGAGTGTTTGTAATGGACAAGCTGTGGCAAGATTTAACTTAATGAAAATACTGTTAGAGATTGAGAGTGTAGAGTCCCAGAAGAGAGAAGCCCAGGGCTAGATTAGCTGCAGTGGTGAAAGGGAAGGAGGAAGCTGGGACCTTACCCAAATGTTCTCCCTCTCCAAGTCAATAACAAATTTGGGCTCCGCTGTAAGAACTGCAAAACCAACATCCATGAACATTGTCAGTCCTACGTGGAGATGCAGAGATGCTTTGGCAAGATCGTGAGTAGGCTCTGGGGAGGAAGAAAATGGAAGGGAGGGCACGTGTTGCCAGCTGCCCCCACTTGTGGGTCCCTATACAAGTCGTCCTATACTTTTTGTTTCTCAGCCCATTTCTTACTCTGAGAAGGAGTGAACACTCATGGGGGAAGTAGGGTTCTGGGACCTACCTTGCTACTTCTAATGCTTCCTCCTTCCCCTCCTGCCCTACAGCCACCTGGTTTCCGTCGGGCCTATAGCTCCCCGCTCTACAGTAACCAGCAGTACGCTTGTGTCAAAGATCTCTGTAAGTGCCCC